GTGTTCGGCCCTCGGCGAGACGCGTGCTGGAGCGAGAGTAAGAGTGCAGGATGAGTGAGGGAGGGGTGAGGCTTGGGAGTTTCCAACGGAACCACGGAACACAGAAAATGTGTAATATCATTATAAATTATTTTTCGGTGCAAATGCCGGTGTAACCAGTATGTGCTAGAATTTTCACTCATTTTTTTTCATGCGGGCATATAAAATTTTTTCCGAGGGGGCTCCGCGTCACATTAGTCCTATCCAATTTGTTTACCAATACGTACATTTAAATATGATCACACCAATTCTAATGAAAATGACAATATTGGTAGAAGATTATCGAATAACGCAAGTTGAACTTTGTCATTCAATTTGAATGAAGCCTTAGAAATCCCTTTTTTATCGCATGCGCAAATCGGAGCACTACAAAACCAGCTCAAACACGAAGCACGTTAATTCCATACGTTCTTTTCATCGTACGGCGTTGTTCCGATTTTGAAAGCGATAGCTTTTGCGGCCAGTTTAGCAGTACAGAATTTTAATTCGTCTTGAAATGGACCAGAAAGTGTCGGATATTTCACTAGTCGGTCGCTCTACAGACGGAATAATGCGGTTTTCACGAGCTATCACAGCGGTACACGGGGTTATCCAGCGTTGATCTCTCGAGCACATTTGGCGATCGCACCAAATATCGACCGGCAAATATGACAAAAAAGTGAACGTGTTATGCTCGTTGAGATTGTGAAAGGCTCCATGCATGGCTGTTGCGTTGGAATACCGAACACTAATTAGTGCAGAAAGTAATCTTTTTAGAAAGGCTGTTTCAAAGAGCATCGCTTTAAGCATCAGTACCTTCAAAATTCGTAACACGCGTTTGAAGGAGAGAAAGAAAAATGAGATCACCGTCTTACGAAATAGGATCCCGAATCCTTTGCAGTGTCTTAATATCTGATGATGATCCCAAGATTTAGGCACAAAAAATACAGGAAGAATTTTCGTTCGATCTAAATTTAGAAGAAAGTTAGTATACAAATTTTAATTGTGCATTGTTCAGACAGTATTTCAGCATTCTGTTCTTCCTACTTCTTTCCTAAAAGCGAGAGAAATACAGAAATTGCTGCAAAATAACTATGAACTAATGTTCGTATACAAACTAAATTCTTAGATCATTTTAACCTTCACAATTTTTCTTGAAGCCAAAAATTACGACGGCTTGGTCTTCTCTTATACCAGTCTCGTTTAGTCCAAGAAGCATGGGTACTAAACACAAAAATTAAAGCAGAAACAACGATTAAGGTCGCGCTAGAGTTTGCTTGTAACGGTGGAAGAATGGAAGCTGACTCATCTGTTATGCAAGCGATGGTTGGCGGTTGACTTTGAGGGCGAGACATGTTACGCGTTACATTTGACTCAAAGGAGCGAGCGTGAGGTGTTACGTGTTTCCAGTATAGGGACACTAGCTGACGGCAAGCGCTTTTTTTCTTTCAGTCAACTTCCACGACAAAACTCTTGTTACGGCCAGAATTCTGGGTCAAGTTTCCGACCCTTTAGAAATCGGCCTTTTCAGGCTTTGGTCACGCTAATCGATTTTGTCAGCGATATAACTAGACAAATTTTCAGAAGAATAAAAGTTTCGAGGAAAGTCTTGAAGAATAAAAGTTCCGAGGAAAGTCTTTATTTCATGAAGTTGAATTAATCCAAAAACGTGCATTAAATTTTTATTGACCGTCAAAAAATCTAGGTTAAATCTGCGCTCGTAAGGTAAAGAAGTACGATATTTGAATCATCACATTAAAATTTTGTTTTCTATTCTTGGTATATTATGTGATATACTGCAGATTCAAAAATTTCCTTGTGGATGGTATTTGCTTTTTCAAGAACGTATCTTTGTTTTAATTATCTTCTAAAGAATAGCATTCGAGCGATAGAATGTTCTGAATATTCACCCGATCGGCAGGTTTTCTACAAACACAAAAAGTTCATCTGTCATGAGAAACGTTTTATGGCTGGTAAAAAACTGCAGTTTCTCGATTATGCCTGATTTGCTTAAGATAGAAGGATTTAAAAATCTGTACAAAAAGTGCTGCTCTCATCAGAAAGCAAGGAACCTTTCGCTGGTGACTGCAAAGTTAACAAAAAACATGCGCAGCCAGTGGCTTGCGTCTAAAATCTTTCAATGCGACAATCAAGCTTAATTACTACTAAAATATTTCAGAGGACTTGCGAGAAAACGTTACAGCTGGTTTCACGCATGTATTAAAATATAACTGCCTGTTAAGTTTTAAGTTTAATTAAGTTAAGTTTATTAAGTTAAATAAAGTTAAAAAGTTTATTAACTAGTTTATTAAGTTAAATAAATTAAATTAAGTTAAGTTTATTTTTTAAACATTATGCAGACTCCTGGATGCTAGTATAAGAGATGCGATAATAGGGTTCTGTTTTCTCGAATATGCGCATTTAGTTTATAAAAATTCTATCGAAATTAAGCCCAGAACCAAATTCCCCTGCCTAGCACTCAAATTTTAAGCGAGAGGCATAAATGCATATGATTAACGAAAATTCTTGCGTGTTATATGACAAAAGTTTAAATAAATCCATTTAATTTCTCAGCTTCGGTTTGCGAACCACATTTACAAATTCGCATAGTTTCATCGCAACTAAAATGAAAGATAAAAAAATATAATTCAGTGCTCATTGCAGTGAGTGACAGAGAGCGCATTTTCTCGTCGACGAAAACGTGAAGTCACGGACGGACAGACAGACTGATAGACAGACAGACGGACAGACAGATGGATTGACGGATATGGCGAGCACAATAGCGCCTTTTTTCCAATAAATGAGAAAATGCACTAAAAATCGATGAACTCCTGTATTTTCTTGAAACAAAATTTTATTCACATGCTTGACTGAAGCTAACGAGGTGTAGGCAGTTAAGTTAGCATTGATATATCAGTGGCTCCGCCCGAGCGAGCAGCATGATCAGGCAGATGCTATCCCGCGCTAATGCATGCACGAAGACAAACACTGTAGCATCGCTGACTTGTTTGATGAATCGGTTGCCACACTAGCATGGCGAAAGATGTCTCTCAAGGATACATGATGTTTGCATGATAGATGCCTTTCAAGGATTGTCAATGTTGTGAGACGTGATATTTATCAACTACCGAAGCATTATTTGAGATTCGAAATATAATTATTCTTATGTTTATTCCTGAATAAATAAGTTCGGGTCCACGAACGATAAACCAATATTATAATTGAAGGTCTCATCTTCAAATACTTAAGTGATGGAGCGTATGTAAAACAATTGAAAGATTTTTTAAACTCCAGTACTAAATAATATTCCTTCCCTTCGATTCATGCAGTATTGCCAGTAATGTGTAGCTTGCTTCCTCGCAGCATTATATGACACAGAATACTCGGTATTGTCTGAGTGAGCAGATCGCTTCAATGAATGAAAATTCGACACAAATTATCAGGTATTGTCGACAGTTTGCAGCTTGCTTCATCGCAGTCCAATTCAACACATAATGTCCAGTATTGTCGACAGTGTGCAGCTCGCTTCATCGCAGTCCAATTCAACACATATTGTCCAGTATTGTCGACAGTGTGCAGCTCGCATCATCTCAGCCCAATTCAACACATATTGTCCAGTATTGTCGACAGTGTGCAGCTCGCTTCATCGCAGCCCAATTCAACTCATATTGTCCAGTATTGTCGACAGTGTGCAGCTCGCTTTCCAGTATTGTCGACAGTGTGGAGCTCGCTTCATCGCAGCACAATTCAACACATATTGTCCAGTATTGTCGACAGTGTGCAGCTCGCTTCATCGCAGCACAATTCAACACATATTGTCCAGTATTGTCGACAGTGTGCAGCTCGCTTCATCGCAGCACAATTCGACACAAATTATCCACACGCCGTTATAATTTCACAGGCTCAAGAGAAAGCCTCCACCGTGAGAATTGCTCTACTTCGGATGCAGGGACATGGAAATTTCGAGCATCTTAATTTAGACTGAATTTGATCTGGATAAAGTTATAAACACCAGTATAAATTTGTATATATAAAGCCGTTCATTTTCAATGATGTATCTTAATGCATCTGTGAATTTATAGGTCTAACAATTTTTAGCAAATAAGTCATAATAAACCAAATTGATGTTAGCGTTTCGTCAACTATTATCAATTGAACAATTAATTATTACGCGGCATTAAGATGGCGTAAGTTTTAACTGTGAATACTCCTCATAAAATAATAACGTGAAGGCTTCTTAATTATACGAGAAAATATAATTTTCTACATTTTAATAGCAGACAATGCTCTGTTATTATATGCTAAAGTTTTTCTCGTCCATTTTGTTATCGTTCCGTGTGATCGTAACAGTAATTCTTTGTCTCTCTAAGGATCAGGTTTAATCATTCGTGACGCATTAAGCTGCCGAACGAAAGAAGGTAATGATTCCTAATGATATTACGTGACCGTCCGTATGCAACTGAAACACTCGCCAAATACGTAAAAAGTGCGATGGATTGTTTAAAAAAGTTGATGTTACGTATCATAAATGAAGGCGTGAGTTGTATGAAATAAGTCTATAAAATATCTGGGCGATTACAGTAATTATAAAATATACTGTTTTGCCATTTAGTTTATCTGGTTTCATTGGATGACAAAACTTATTTCAGAATTAGATCCGAAATAGTCAGAATGATTCTGATAAATGGGAGCAATTTTTGCGTTATAATTAATAGTGGCTCGAACCGGGGAGTGCTGCTATGCCCAAAGCGTTGACAACAGTTGTATGTTTATGCTGAGAATGAATGACTCGAATAACATCTTTTCCGGAGTAACCTACATACTTCGACGAGAACGAAAGATGACAAGTATTTTGAAGATGAACGACTACAAAATACAATTACTGTACCAACAAAGTTTAAGCTAAATATACGGGGAAAATTGTATTCTGATAATTTGTAAAGTACCTGTCTGAAATCACGTAATATTTATTATTATTCCAGAGATAAAGCAGATAGTGCACGAAATGACGTTCTTGTTTAATTAAGAACGAAGATCTCTCAGGCCTCGTTCGGCTAACTCACTCGAACCTGTAAGTACTGTAGTTTATAGTATTAGATAATTCCAGCGAAGAATATTTCTTAATAAATTTCAAATGCAAATTCACAAAGCAGGGCTGAATAAATATCCATTTCAAATTGAAGTTGATATATGTTGAATGCCGACGCCAATTTTAGGTGAATTTTTTAAATGTGTCTTTTATTTCACACACCTGTCATTTATTTGGATGCGATATATACTCTATACCAAATGCATACGCGAACTCCGCCTTAATTTTATAGTGATTCTTCCTCTGTCATACTGATTCGTTATTATCATATTGGTTATGATTTATGCTTCAAATTCATTATGACGGTGCATAATACAGATCTAAGCTATTGAAGTTTCGGTATTAACTGCATTCGTTTCGCAAGATTCATTTAATTGGCACTTTAGTGCCAATTTGATTAGACGAATTCAGGCACAGAGAAATTCAAATTCAAGATTCATCTAATCTTGAATTTCTCATCCATACGTATAAGGATCAATATTTTCAAATTCAATATAACATCTCTACAGATTCGAATTTATTTACATCGATATGAATGCTGTGTGTTTTTTACGGAAAACTACAATTGAAAACCAAGTTCATTTTTGTTGTTGCTGCCGAGGCAAAGTCTGCCTTCCAGGGGCCATACTTTCAAAACTCGCTAAGTGAACGTAAGTACTTACGCTTTATTTTCTTTTCTATGATTGGTGGATTTTGCTTGCGTGGCCGTCAATGATTGGCTGATGGACTTACGATCTCTTAACTTTTTTTGAAAGTATGGGCCCCGAGTTGGCCAGTGGAGCGCACGAGCCCGTAACACGTGCTGCCAACCAAGGCTGGAAAAATTGAACTTGAGCCCTGGCAACGTGTGAGGTCCCCGTGACCGTAAGAGATTCGGAGACATTCCAGCTTTGGTCGCGTATTGTTTGAAATTCCAACTAACTGAGAAGTATTTTTATTATTTATTTTTTTTTTCACCTCAACAATAGCTGTGGTTGGAGACACAGTTGGACGAAAGCTTAATAATATTCCGGTTTAACGCCCAACTTGCAATGCTAAAAAGGCTAGAATCACACAAAGTAAGCTGCATTGCCTTCAAACTATTTTCCCAGCTGAAAACTAGATCAACCATACAAGGAAAACACTATACGACATTTCACTCAAAAACCCTACAAATTTTTCGTTGCAAGAAACGGACGACGGGAAATATTCTGTAACGAAATATTAAAGACCAATTTGCATGGAAAACCTAAAACGTTGGGTGAGGCAGCGGAGCTCGACGAAGGTCAGCTCCAGCAAAGCAAGTCGAGTTCGTGCCGGCCGAGGCGGGGCGCAGGCGCCTGGCGAGCGCATTAGACGGAAGCTTGTTGACCTCAGGTCAGCACGACACACGTCGCTGATCTGCGCAGGTCATCGCGCTGGCAAAATCATGCGCACCTATACGATAACTTTGATCGATATTGAACGTTCCGGAACATGCTTAATGCTTGCTTACGCAATTTTACATATTAAACTCTTGAATATTTTAAGTTACGCAATTTTACATATTATACTCTTAAATTCTTCAAGTGGAATGCATATTTTCAAAGTAAATAATTAAATGGTAATAATGTGAGTCACTCGCATGCATTACTAATCTTGTGATAGCCTCAGGCTGAGTTCCTCGTATAATAATAATTAGGAATATAAAATTTACAATCAGCTCCTTGTCGTGAGCGAACTCAATTTGGATTTTCTAATTAGCATTCCGGCGCGAGGTAACTCTAGGCGACATTACATTAATCTGGGGACCTGGCGTTATTAGCGTAATTAATTAAATTCGCCGTTGTTAGTGTAAAACAAACTATTTTCTGCTTCACAACGCGGAGCAACTGGTGTGTGTAATTAACCTTGATCAGCAACTTGTATATTTTACAGAAACATTGGTTTTTGTGAACGGTGTCACTGAAAAGTATAAATATGTCAGATTGTTAGGATGCCAATATGCAATGAATTCGACAAAAACAGTAAAAATGTAGCAATCAGCGGGAGAGACGATTGAAAGCAATGGATGGATGCTGAAAACAGCTGGCAAAGTTGAACTCTAACCTGTTCTCGGTTAGCGCTGCGGTACCGCGTGTGTATTTACGACTGAAGTCTGAATGCAAGGAAAGTGCTCGAGTTAAATCAAATTTTCTGGTTTTGCAATGTTCCCTTTCATTTTCAAGCTCGCAGACAAGCCTCTTGGTGCAATAGTCCAATATGAATATCAGGACGTGTAAGAACCGCAGTCTGAGCTCATCTGTGAGTTAGAACAATAGCTTGACGAGTTCAGAACAGGAAAATATCTTGAAAACAATGCTTACGAGGCCTTGAGCTGCCCAAGAAAACCGACCAAGTGAAACTGAGGATTGAAAGATCCTGGTTGTAAAGCCTGACTTTTAAATGGCTTTAACTCAGGCCAGTTCCTTTGAAGATTCTGATTAACCTCACAAATTTCATTGTCTATTCACTTGCATGTTTCTTTCACTTGCATCAAACAATGGTATTCTTCGTATTTTTATTGCGTCTTTCGACAAGAAAGGCAAAGCATTTCTTGAGCAGAACGCATGACTGTCCTACCAAACGTCCTTCCGGCCGGAGGGTAAGAATTTAATTCGAACTACTGCGTTTTTACGATACAAAAAAAGTTCAATCCTTTTCGATCCTTCATTTTTATTTTATAACAAAGTCTGTTTGGGGCAAAATTGAGGGTAGCCAATAGAAAGGAGTTTGAGTTTTATTTATGAAATGATAGTATTCGTGCCATGTTTCAAGAAAGAGGGGCTTTGTGCAAGAGATCTTTTACATGGTGAGTCACGATAAATAAAATTCAAGGACACCTCAGGTTGAATTTTGATCATTTAGTATCAATGTCCATGTGATAACAAGCTGACAAGCGAAAGATCATTGATTTGACATATTCAGGGCACCCAAAATAACTGTTATCGTATTCTCAAGCGTTCACCAAAGCTCATTACAGAGCAGTCTTAAGGTTATCACTTTAACATTATAACCAAGACCATTGACCTTGTACTTACGCACTGAGTTGACGTGCTGGACGCACTGGAAACCGATGTAAAAAGTCAGTCTCGTGTTGTCAGTTGATTTTGAAACTGACAAAGTGCCGTCGAAAGAAAAAAGCATGATGTATTGGATTGAATATTACTTTTTAAGATAGTGAAGATGCAAAGAACGCACCATTGAACTTTATACTTCTTCTTGACATTGGGAATTGCGCTGAGCTTAGGTAGGTTCCACCTCGAGGCTGCTTCACGCTTGTCTGGCTCCTCTGTAGCAATACAATGTCCGTAAAATGGATCCTTATTCACTGTCCGAAGTGTAATCCTTATTCAGTGTTAGAAAAAAAGAATCCTTAGTCAGTGTCCCAAAAATGGATCTCTAATCAGTGTACGAATAATAGATCCTTATTCAGCGTTCGAAAAAAAGGATCCTTACTTAGTGTTAGAAGAGGAGCTCCGAGTGATGCATAATATGTGGGATAGAAAGACTAGCTAATTATAAAACTTAGTTTAGAGAAGCATTATAAATTTTGTTTTCTCAAGAAACTCTTTGAATTGTATGCTCATTGTTTCAAAAAAATGAGCACATTGTTTGGAGTCTGGAAAATGCGCTCTATATATGTTGTATTGTCAAATTTACAATATGCATGCGGATTGAGATTGTACATAAAATTTATATTAGGCCTTCATACATTATTGAAGCGGGAAAATAATTTAAGAAACGTACTTAAAATATCTTGTGGCATTGACAAATTCAGTATTGGATAGCTTGCACTTTAACATGAGAGCCAAACTACTGATTTCGATACAAATAATTTAATTAAACGTTTAATTTTATTTGTGCCTTCGAATTGCGATTTTGTGTGATCGTCTTCAACAATAAATCTGCTGCTACATGCTCCATGAAAACCCTATCAATTTACATTTCAATTAAAGTTGGCAAAAAATTATTGAATGCATCTATCGGTATAGCACATACAAAGAACCTGCACTAAGTTTACGTCGTGGAATTGTAGGACTCGTGAGAGCCTAGCGGGGTGGCGTCTCGCATTCGTGGCAGGATTGCGGAACCGTAACTGGGAACAAGTGACCAGTGAAACAGAAACTTCGGGCTTGGAAAATGTAAAAAAGATATCTACGTTTGTTGTTGTCATCGATACATGACGTTTTTTGTAAAAAAGTAAATGTAAACGTGACCAGCAGGATATTTGCTTACTTTCGTTAGGAAGTTTAAATTTAGCCTATGATGAGCACGGGTATGGTCGTCATTTGTATTCTTAAAACCTTCGCCAAATTTTGGATTTTTCATTTGCGTAGACGTACTGAGTGAAACTTCAAACACCCATGATCATTGTGACATTTTATCGACATGCCATATAATTTGAATTAGGAAAAAATTAGGAAGAGTGTATGCCACTTGAATTTATTTCACTTCAATATTTCAGTACTCTGTTGTAAATTCGATTATCTATTTCTCCCCGATCTGCAGCTTACAAATTTTGTGACATTCCTTCTAATTTTCACAAGAAAACACTATTCTTGAATCAAGGAGCACTCGTACAAAGTAAACCCCTTAAAAATAATTTCGAAGACACGAAACATTTCTTTCCCATTTATATGATCTCGAAATCACTTTACTGACGGAGCATAATTAAATTAAACACCTTAAAAATAATTTCGAAGACGTGAAATATGTCTCTCCCATTCATCTCCTCACGAAATCACTTCTCTGACGTAGCATAATTTTTCATTGGAATCACATGTGAAGCCAAGGTGAAGCTGTGATACTGATGATGAACGTAGGCTATCTAGCCCACGTCACGTACCCCTGACTGTCAGTAGCATTTCTGGCTCACCCTAATCACGAGCTACGAGTTTCCTTCATTCATTTCCTAGGGCGTGATGGCCAGGGCCCGATACCGATCATTTACGAGGTGCGACACACTGCCATTTCCCGCAGAC